GACTTCCCCACACCAGCTGACCCTGCTGACATCTTCTTCCATTCTAAAACTCCCTTGTGCCTTGTCTTTCAGGGCTCATGTCTCTTACAGTCTCTCTTCTCTGCCACTACAGCCCTCCACTAATGCCCTTCTTTCCCCATGCATCTTCTTTCTTCTCCACTCCAGCCCCGTCTCCCCCTACCACACACAGATGCTGCCTTCCTCACCTGCTCAGGGTCTGACACCCTATACCTGGCACTTCTCCTTGGGGAGGCTCTCATCATCCTGCTTAGGGTCTTGTACCCCCAAGCCTGGCTGCCATCCTGCAGGTATGTCCTTAATGCTGCTGGGGCCCTGACTCTTTACAGCAGGCTACCCCATATGGATTACCCTCCTGACTTTGCTTGGGTTATAACAATCCCACCCCTGCTCCTAAGCACCACGGAAAGCCTTACCTTCCTCTGCCCTGCCTGGTGGCTTTAGAACTGAATTGTGCAGAAAGGAAAGAGAAAGGGAAGATGAAGCAATACTATACCACCTGAATAATTAAGCTTTATAGTAAATCTTAATACCCGGTAGCGCAAGTTCTTGTACTTATCGTTCTTCAGGATTGTCTTGGCTATACTTGGCCTTTTCTTCTCCAATTCCTTCTTTATTTGTAGCTTCTTTGTGAACATAATTCAGTAAGATTAACTGTCTCACCTTAACATTTTGTCCATTCTCAGCCTTAGCCCATCATTATTATTATTAATTATTTTTCTTGAGACAAGGACTTACTCTGTCACCCAGGCTGGAGTGCAGCAGCATGATCATGGCTCTCTATAGCCTCAGTCTCCCAGGTTCAAGTTGATCTTCCTGCCTGTTCCTCCTGAGTAGCAGGGACTAAAGGTGCACACCACCATGCCTAGCTAATTTTTAAATATTTTGTAGAGACAGAGTCGCTTGACACTGGAGGAATAAATGTTTAAAATACATAAAACACAGGCCGGGCGCGGAGGCTCACACCTGTAATCCCATGACTTTGGGAGGCTGAGGCAGGCAGATCACTTGAGGTCAAGAGTTCGAGACCAGCCTGGCCAACATGGCAAAACCCCATGTCTACTAAAAATACAAAAATTAGCCAGGCATGGTGGTGTCCATCTGTAATCCCAGCTACTTGGGAGGCTGAAGCAGGAGAATCACTTGAACCCAGGAGGCAGAGGCTGCATAAGCCAAGATTGCACCACTGCACTCCAGCCTGGGGGATGAAGCTAGACTCCATCTCAAAACAAACAAACAAACAAACAAAAATATATATATATTGTGTGTGTGTGTGTGTGTATATATATATAAACATTTTTTTTAAAAAAAAGGAAAAGAGATGGAGTCCCACTATGTTGCCCAGGTTGGTTTTGTACTCCTGGACTCAAGCAATCCTCCTGCCTTGGCCTCCCAAAGTACTCAGACTACAGGCATGAGTCACCATGTCCAGCCTGTAGCACTTTTATAATACACTTTTTAACAGAACAGCTTTGATCATTTAACATAAGGAGTTTCTTTTTATCAATTTCACTAGAAGTCCCCAGGTATGAAATTCCTGTTAATAAAGCAATACATAACTTCTCTGCTTTCTTGTTGAACTGATCTCTAAATTCGATTTGAGGACAATCAATAGGGTGTTAGTCTCTAGTGTGTTAGTGAGACTACATGTAAACTGTGATATTTGGACTGGCCTTGAATGAGGGTATTTCTACTGGTGGTAATCTAGGCAAGGTAAAGCATACATATGTGAGGAAACTATAAAGAAAAGCAATTAGATGCAGAGGTCTAGAGTCCACGGAAGGGATATGAGTTGGAGATTCAAATCTGTGAACACTGATGCACAGATGGCATTTACAGACATGGAATTTGATCTACCCAGATTAAGTAGAGAAGGGCTGAGGAGTACCTCAACATTTAGAGGTCCAAAAGCAGAAGAGAAACCAGCAATGGAGAAAGAATGGTGAAGAAAATCTGTGTGTGTTTGCCAGGGGGAATCCTGGAAGCAAACTGAAGGAAGTATTTCAAGAAGCTGAATATATTCAAATATATAAATGCTGCTAAAAGGTAAGATGAGGACTGCGAATTTTCCATTAGATTTGGAAAGATGGATTCTTCTGGCACCCTTGACAGAAGGCATGTTGGGGCAGTAAGTAGGACTGAAAGTCTGAGTGCAATGAAGAGAAAACCACCATATAAACATAATGAAGTTCTTCCCCACATCAGGGCCTTCACATTTGCCATCTCATCTTCCTCAACACGTACTCCTCCAGACCTTCCCATGCACCTGCACATCCCCATGCCAGGATGCAAGTCATCTTCCAGAGGCTTTCTCTCACACCCTAAAATAAGTGCCCTTCCTTACTAATTACTCTTTAGCTTTCCTTGCTTTAACAATACTTGAAGTTCTATTATTTCATTTATTTGTCGATCTCCATGGGATTGTGATAAATCAAGAATATGTACAAATACTTCTTTTTAAGAACTTGTACATTTTTCTAGGTGCATCATTCCTAGAAAATCCATTAGATTATTTATAACCTCACTCACCCCAACAAAGAAGGGCCATAACTTTACAATCACTGGCAAATCCCCTTATCTGCTCCTCTTCTGCCACAAAGTTTTCTGTCATTCTCTCACAGGGCATTTTCACCTTAACCTTACTTCACAGAAAAACTGTGGTAGTAAAACTAGTGTTAATTATAATTTACACCTTCAATTTTTTCATAATGAAGTCAAAACATGCCCTAAGATGGCTAGGTCATCCCCAATCTCAGGGGAAATGATATTTTAGAGTCTAGTCCAATTCCTGTTATACACAGAAACCAAAATGACAGGGCATGTGACATACCTGTGGCATAACCCACAAGTGAATCCTAAACCCCTGACTTCCAGCCCTGGTGAAGTAGAAAGTTATCTAGTGAATGACAAGGGCTTAGGTGAAAAATAAAATACTGTACATCCCAACTAGTAACATGATTTACAAACTAGACTTTGCCATTTTGTAAGCACCACCCCATTCATGGAAATCCTTATTCATTGAGTCTTTATCCCATTTAGTGACTCCATGTCCAGACCAAGTAGTGAGAGATAGGGTTTCATTTTAGAAACTCTCTGGGAAGGACACAAGAAACTCCTCTGCTTAAGTCTATACTAATAATTTGTTAATAATTTGTTAATTGGTTTATAACTTGTCAGTAAAGTTCTGGCACAGCCTATCAGTGGATTAAAAAATAAAGAGAATTATAATAATCTCTTAAGGCACACTTTTGGGTAGTAATTAAAATATAGTTACCATATGGAATTTTTTTGTACTAAAAGTATCCCTCCTACCTAATTTTGTTTTGGGAAAGTGGACATGGCAAGTAGGCGATTGAGACATGAGTGTTTTGGAAAATCTATTAAACCTACAAGAAGGCTAAAAGACCCTCTGTGGTACAGGAGTAAAGAAGGAGAGAGTTGCAGCCAGGTATGGTGGCTCACACCTGTAATTCCAGCACTTTGGGAGGCTGAGGCGGGGGGATCACCTGAGGTCAGGAGTTCGAGGCCAGCCTGACCAACATGGTGAAACTCCATCTGTATTAAAAATACAAAAATTAGCCAGGCGTGGTGGTGGGTGCTGTAATTCCAGCTACTTGGGAGGCTAAGACAGAAGAATTCCTTGAACCCAGGAGGAGGAGGCTGCAGTGAGCCAAGGTTGCAGTGAGTGGAGATCGCACCACTGCACTCCAGCGTGAGCGACACAGCAAGATTCCGTTTCAAAACAAAAGAGAGAGAGTTACCCAGTAACATCACTGTGGGCTAATACTGAGCACTATTAGCTTCTAACAAATTGAGCAAGAAGGGGGAAGGTAACCCTTATTGTTAAAAATGCTTTTCAGTGGGAGAAAAGCTATCAAATATTTACCAACTGCTTACTGTTTTGAGCACATTTCAAAGGTCAATAGAATGATTCTGAATGCCTCTACATTCTAGAGTTGAGAAAAAGACCACTTATATTGTCCTCAAAGATTCTTTCTAACATCTAAAACAAATCATTCACTCAACAAACATGTTCTGAGTACCTATAATGTGCTAGGCACTTTCCCAAGTGCTAGAGGGATACAGCAGTAAATAAACCTCATGGAATTCATGTTCTTAGGGAGGAGTCTAGAGACAAATAAATACAGTAAATGACAGTATTTTGGAAGCATTGTTAAGAACTATCTTTACATGCTTAGACCATGACAAGTATTATGGAGAAAAACAAAGCAGGAAAAGGAAATAAGATACATGTAATTCATTTCTGTTTATTGCAGGTGGCCTGTTTCATGATGAGTAGATTTTATAAGGTAACAAAAAATCTTTAATAATCAGTATTATCTTTGTGAATATTTCATTTTAAAAGATATAGAACATAACTTGAAATATTCTTAAAAGTTAATTATTAGTTCATATCCACTCTTAGCATATATTATTGTTTATATTTATCACTTATTTGATGACAAGTTCTTGGTCAAGAACATATCTATAATTAATTTATACCAGGCCTTTTTAGCTAAACAGAATGCATTTTTGTAGACTGTTCTATGAAGTGGTTTTAAAGAAGGAACAGTGTATTTGTTCTGTTTTGTTTTTCTGTAAGTGAAACCCTGCTAAACTGGAAAGCCTCTAACATGAACCAAGACTTTCTGGTAACAGCGATTTTCAGTTCTAATATAATTAGGCTCACTAGTCACCCTACCCTAAACTCATATAGCCTAAATCAAATAGAAATTAATTTTTGTCATTAGTATACTAATCAAGATGATATAATGCTTCACTTTTTTTCCTATATAATTTGAAATAAAATAGTAAAAAATACACTCTTTGGGAAGAGCTCGTTTTCAATTTAAAAAATCAGTTTTACACACTAAATGTATACAAACAATTACATTTTATTATACTGTGGTTGTCTAGCACTTCAATTAGGATAAGAAAGTTTATGAAATGTAAACTGACAATTTCAGCAGCTTAAAGCTTACCTTCAGGCTGGTATGAGAACGTGGTTGACTTAATTCCTGAAATTTCCATTGCTCAGATCCAGGGGTCTCTCCTCCTTTCTGAGCATCAGGTGTAAGCAATCCATCTCCAGCAGGTAATGGGAAAATTCCTAATGATATAGGACGTTCTTTTCTATTTGAAGAGGGGAGAAAAAATTCGGCATTCATTTATTTTGACTTTTTTTATTTGCCATGACTGTAAGTAAGCCTGGACTGTCACTGTTTTACAACCATCACTCGAAAATGACACTGTCTGCCCATCTGAATAAAACAGACTTACCAAAGAGGAAGGACAGTCTCAGTTTAGTTTAGCCTCAAGAAATCAACTAAGAAAAGTGGTAAGAAGGGTTAAGGAAAGTTTGTAAGTTACTGATGAGTTCCTTGCCCAAGAAGCAGTCAGTGGTCTAGTGTGGTCTGGAGAAGAGCTGCTGCTGAGTTTTTCATCATACGTAGCTTAGCCCTAGGGCAACTTGCAACCTCCTTCTTTGGAAGTGAGCCCAACCCTTCCCAAATCCTCTCGCTAATCCCTGGATGTTTACTGAAGCCTCTTCAGGGTATGCCTTTCCTGCCTAGAGGAAAATCAATATATTATCTAAATCGGGGTTACCTATTAAATGATGAAAAGAACTCAAAATATCTTTCTCCCCACCACCCAAGTAGGAAAGCTCTGTTTTTCTACAGAACCATTATATGAGTTCCTTCCAAGCATAGTACATATGAGAAAACCACTGTCAGTTTTTTCCAAATAAGAAGGCCAAATAATTCTATAAAAGATTACTGGATTTCCAGTGCTTTGTGGGAAGTTTCAATGAACAAGAGTTACAATTTTAATACTAACAGAATTTCAATGAGAAACACATCATTTGTTGACGCACAGAAGATTCCAAATCGAAGAGCTTTTAGAGGGTGGAAACAAGCCTACTAACCGGTCATCCTGGGTCATTAACTCAAAAGTGTAGAAACTAGAAAGAAATGAGACATTAAAGGATTGTTGCCTCCTGGAATTCATACCTCTACTGGTAAAAATGTAAGTTAGAATAGAAACAATGAGGTTATTAATAAAAGTGGGAAATTTTCAGTTTTGTTAAGTCTTTTATTCTGTAGCTCATTTTTATTCCAAGAAACTTCAGCCACTTTTGAAATGTGCCTTCACTTAATACAAAGGGTGTGTTCTTCCATTCCTAACAATCTAAAAGGACTAGTAAAACTGTTTCAATGCCTTCTTAAAAATGAGGTGAAGCAAAGGGTTTGAGAGATTACATTTAATCAAAGTTGTATGCACAAGGAAATAAAATTTAAAAACAGAACTTTGATTTAGGGGGAAAATTAAAAAGCAGGAAGGCAGTACAAAAAGAGGGTAGTTTTTTGTTTGTTTCTTTGAGACAGAGTCTTGCTGTGTCGCCCAGACTGGAGTGCAGTGGGATGATCGCGGCTCACTGCAACCTCTGCCTCCCGAGTTCAAGCAATTTTCCTGCCTCAGCCTCCCGAGTAGCTGGGACTACAGGCATGTAACACCACGTCTGGCTAATTTTTGTATTTTTAGTAGAGATGAGGTTTCACCATGTTGGCCAGACTGGTCTTGAACTCCTGACCTCACGTGATCCACCTGCTTCAGCCTCCCAAAGTACTGGGATTACAGGTGTGAGCCACCGCACCTGGCCAAGAGAGTAAATTTTAATACCAAATCTAAGTTTGTGACTATGAGCTGCCAGGACAACCAAATGACAAAAATTAAAGTGACTAGTCAGCTATCATGTTTACACCAGTTATTCCCAAATGCTGTTCAGCAACAAAGTTTTTATAATAAGTCCATGAAAAAAGAGGCATTATTATTTCCTTAGTGCACAGATAATGTAGTACATATTGTACACATATACATTCCAATATACTATAGAACCCTGTTCTTTCTTGAAGATGACTGACCCTTATTTTAAATTACATATTTTATTCTTTGAGTTTAAAATGCCCTTTCTTTCATTAAATGATGGTGACAGTGATAAGTAGCTAGATTTCCTTTTCATATCCATTCTGGACAAAATAAAAAGTTGTCAACCTGATGTTTTCCCCCCATATTTTGTGAACTGAAAATCCAAGGATTTTCTTAGTAGACAGTAGTAGCTCTCTACTAAGAGCTACTAGCTGACTTTTATTTATTTTCTAACACACCTTAATAAGTTAAGCAAAAGGTGACTGGGAATTTAATGACTGAATACAATGGAAATCTCTCTAACTCAAAATGCAAAGACAACCAGGAAGATGATATATAGACTTCATAAGATGCCATCACACTAACAGAAATCAAAATATAAACCAGTCGTTAGAATTATTTCCTATATGAATGACAACACATTCATTTTCACACATATCAAATGTTGAAAAAGTTTAAAACTATTGGGCGAAGAAGTCTTCTATGAATCCAAATTTTACTTTCCAAAAAGTAAACAAAATCAGTCAACAAAATCTACAATCCAAACTCAACAAAATCTACAATCCAAATTATAAGCAGAATTCTCACCTTTTTAGTTTGCTTGTATCAAACATTCAGACACTACAGGGAGGGGACATCTCTTCAGAGACTGACAGCTATCTGTCAAGTGGGTCAATGATGCTCTAGGTTACAGTGTTCCAACTCTGAAAAAATAATCACTACCTACTCCTCCCCTTACTTTACTTATAAATTACATAGAGTTGGGCTAAGGGAGAGAAGGGCGCATAATTAGGCCAAGTTCACGAGAATCCTACTTTTGAAAAGAAACCCTGAAAGGTAAACATTAGTCCGGTACTATGTTGGTATATATTAAATGCTTCAGTTAAACTCACAGAAGAAGAAATAAAATGAGATACGCATGGAAAACTATCAAGTGGCAGACTGACACCCGCAGACAGAAACATCTGCTATTACTTGTCTAGAAAACAAAGCTATCACCAAGTATCAGAATTCTTTTTTCTTAATTGCCCTACTTCCATATATCCATTTTTGAGTTGGATATTAAATGTTAGCTTATGTGTATAAATTATTTTACAACTACATTTTTGAAACAGCTTTTTGGCTATATTCACATTTGATACAACTAATTAGTAAAATCTACTTTATATATGAAGGCAGATAAAAGAAAAAATACATCTGTTGAACACTCACCACATAGTGGGTACTGAGCTAGATGATTTATTTACATTATCTCATTTAATCCTTATCAAGAAACGGGGATTATTTTCCCAATTTTCAGAGTAGAAAAAGTGATGCTCAGAGATTTTAGGCACTAGTAACTGGCAGAGTTTGGATTCAAAGCCAGTACTGTTCAACTCCAAGCCCTTTGCTTTCCTTGGAACTTCCTACTTGGAACTACCAACTTTTTGACAATTTAATCTTAATATCGAAGACTTTGATATCTTTATTTAATCAGATCAGTAGCAATTTTTGTGGTAAAGAACTTTAAAAATTTAATTATAAGGTATTTTATCAATAAAAGCCGTAGTTAAAACTATTTCCGCTAAAAATGGGCACATATAAGTAACTATGAAAATTATTTACTTGAGTAATTTACCATATATCTTACAACTATAATTAAATACAAAATAATAAAATCACTTGATTTTTAAAACCACCCAAAGGGGTATCTCCCGTCAGAAGAGAAAACTCAGGCAGAGAGATTAAGCAACTTGCCAAAGCTCCTACGGCCACGTGCAATAGAGCATTTGCACCCAGGCACTTCAACTCGAAAGCTTTGTCGTACCCACTTGCAGGCGCCACACAGCAGCTCATGGCACTGCCCTCTCAAATGAAGTCTAAACCCAAGACAGCCCCTTAACATTAGTCTTATTTTAATATTCTACAAATTAAGTTTGCTTTTAATTTCTTCAAAGCTTAAATATACAGATACACATATACAAATATTTTATGTACTAATATATATACAAGTAGTAAGATTATTCCCAATTTTTATAAATCAGGAAAGAAAATAAAAGACCAAGTATCTAGTTTTAAATCACAGATGAAATTTAATTTCTGGGCTTTCAACTAATATTAAACTTGAACTAACCTATAAAAAAAAGAAACACATTGAAGGAATTTACTACTTTAATTCTTCTTAATTTATCTAAATCTACAATTAGGGCTTAAATATTTTATAAACATTTAAATAATAAATAAAAATTATATACTATGAATTTTCATTTAAAACCATGCACAAAGCAGAAATCTGAACAAATCAGAGAGTGCTAGTCTGATGGTTTAGAAAACAAAAGAAACCACAACCTTAAGTCTCTAAAATACAGAAGATGGCTCTTAAAGGGTGTAAGTAGAGTGAGCAACAGTAAAGCTACAGAGATTAATGACTACCCCCACAAGCAGGCATGGATATTTGTCACCCAAGACTACAAAGAAAAGAAAGGGCAACATCTGACAAAACAATAGTGAATAGGCTTTGTAAAGCTTTCACAACTTTGATGTGTAAATAATGGGGAAAAATGCATTCCTTAACCTAAAAGTCTTAAATTTTTCACTTTAAAACATATTTTGTTTTAGGAGGAAAATATTTATAAATTGTCAGTTCCCATGAGCTATTATCAAAAATTACAAAAATAATACCTGAACCTCTATCATTCAAAGGATAATTAAAACAAAATAAACTATGGCCTGTATCTAACTGACTGCAAGTTCAAGTATAAAAGATATTTGTCCCTAAATGCTCAGAAGCTAAATGCAGAGGTTGTATAAACTTGGACCTGGTGCTCTACTCTTGCTCTCCTTTACTTTGAACATTCTGCTTAAAACAAGACCACACTGACCTTGTACTGTGTGTAAGTACAATATGAAAATCCTTTTCTTTAGTCGGTGGTTTCCAAACATAAAGCTATAATCCTAACTGATGGTCTATAAATTACTATAAATAACAATCAAAATCCTAGCTTCAGGCCATTTTCCATTGTTTCAATCTGCAACAGAAATGGTTACAAAGCAGACCCGTGGAGCTAAAAATTTAAGAAAAACCAGCTAAGCAGGGGCTTCTAAAAGAGACGGGAGTACCTGAGTATCCTTGGTAGGTTCTGCGTCAGAGCTGGCACACCGGTAGAAATAGAAAAGTGCACAAGCAGCAAAACAGAGAGAGATACTAAGATAGCAGAATTAATGACCACCGCCCCGCCAACAAAGCCAAACACAAACAGCAGCATGCATCCAGGACTCATGGCGCTGTGCTGGCATGGTGAAACACCCGAACCAGGAGGCCTACACGGGGGCCAAAGGGGTATCTTTGTAGTGAGGATCTGTCATTCAGCTTGCTGCCACAAAAACAATGCCATCAGCAGCAGCTTTCCACTCCATCCTGCAGCAGCTCTCAAGCGATGACGTCATTCCGTTCTCCCCACCTCATAACCATAGAGCTGCTGCTCCTAGCATTTATGCTGCAACCCCGAGCGACAGCCAGCCTATTAACTATTTTCCCCTCCACTAAGAGTCCTGGCTTAGCTCATTGGCTACAATGCCTGAAGATCTACATAATTTATTCACACTCCTACATCAAACAGATGGCTAGCTAACCCTTTCAAACATGCCTCTCTGTAACAAAAAGGACTTCAAACCAATTACACAGGAGAAATAAAAAATTTCAGCATTCCCACAAATTACAAAATTTTAAACCTAGTATAATCTCCATTAAGTATCAGAAAACAATCTAAATACTCAAATGTGCTGCTTATATGGATGGCTCATAATTTATTTTTTTAATGGTAAAAACGGTTTCTACTTTTCTGTGCTATTCTCTCCTGTAGCATTCCAATCACAGTGGAGAGCTTTTTGAATTAGCCTAACTATTGTTCCAGGATTAAAGAATAGAGAAAAACAGAAACAAACATATTATTTATTTTACTTTTTCTCAAGGCAAAATATATAACAAAGCTTACCTAATTCTACTATGAGCTGTGGATTCTAGTTGATCACTCCCTGAGAGCTGATGAAGTTTTGTTCTTTCTAAGTGTTCCATATAATTATGGATCATCTATTTTAAAGAAAGAAAAAAATACACAACATTTAAGGCTAATACTTGGAATAAAATCATAGTGTTAAAACTAGGAAAACATTTTTGTACAATTTTCTTATTTATCAGACTACTCAATTCCATATAAGAGAATATTAAGGAATGAAAAAAATTGTAATGGAAAGTAATATGCAAATGCTTTCATTTAAGGATGCTGGTGTCCACAAAAGTAGCTAATATTTTGCTTAGCATGGAAAAAAAAACCCACTTTTTTTTACAATATGTGATGCTATTAAAATAATATTGACATAAAGAACACAAATTAGTAAACAGACACTGGGAAAGAAGTGATAAAAGACCATGGGTTAAAAATAATAGATGGCATTTGAAAAACCCATTCACTAAAATGAGACACAACAAAGAAATTAATGTGAAACTTCTGAAGAAACCATATCCTTATGTGCTGATCTTTTCCATTTTAAAAGAAATTAACAGAATAAAGATCACTTTCAATTTAATTAATTTAATACCAAGAAAGGTTTCTTCTTTCTGTACATTTAGTTGAAAGAATGTTAAAATACTTTCTCCTTTGACTGTTACTGGTAACATTACTTAGTATAATCATCTATTATAACAGCAGCAAATTAATACAAATGAAAAAAATTAGAACACTTTTTGAGTCTTAGATAAGGAATCATATGATAGACAAGCTGAATATGAAAGTAAAAACTTCAAGAATATAAAGTGCATAAACTGCCAAGAACTTCTAATGTCCTATTTGATTCTTGATAATATATAGTTTCACTTTTAAAAAGCCTAAATTTCGAATTAAGACATAAAATCAAAAGGCCTTTGCTAGAGATACTAACATGACATGAATAAGAAAAAAATGAATTTTAAAAAACAAGAAATAGTGTGTTAGTATTTAAAGGGTGTAAATATTAAGAGGCAAGCAAAGGTTGATATCTTTCTTGGGAATATTACTTGAATTCTCTTTTTTTTTTAAATGTCCCTTCTTACCATTCCTAAGGAATATTACTTGAATTCTTAACACTGTAGATAGAATAGCTTTGGAAGTCACTAAACTTTAGCTGTATTAAGATGTATTTCAATCTCTCTATAACTTAAAATACGCACTGTAGCATATTAAGTAACAAAATAAATTTTTTACAAAGTTTAAATTCACTTTACAAAGCACGCTTTTCTTGCAGAAATTTTATTTGGTGTGTACAAAAATTACGAAATGTAAGTTAATTTTAAGATGTTATTTATCATCAAATAAACAAAAAGCTGAACTCTGATGCATGAAATAAAACAAATTAACCAGACTGTTCTCCAATGAAGACTAGTCCAAACAACAAATGTTAGCCACAAAGAATGAAAACAGAATCACATGAATATAGTATCTTAAGATTTTTTAATTGATATACTTTTTATTTTAAATTTATAGATTTTACCACCATTTACAAAACAGTTTTGAAGAAATACACTTTTCATCCATCAGCAAGTCAGAAATAATGAGCTTCCTTGTGTCAGGAAGAATTTTCAGGAACAAAAATCAAACCGAAACTAATATAACAAAGTGACTGTCAGGTTTAATCAATCTCAATTTAAACTTTCAAAAGGTTTTAGAACGCCTAAATTAAGGCTTTGCAGTGGCTCATGCCTGTAATCCCAGCACTTTGGGAGGTAGGAGGATTGCTTGAGGCCAGGAATTTGAGATCAGCCTGGGCAATATAGCAAGACACCTGCTCTAGAAAAAAAATACAACAACTAGCAGGCACTCGCCTGTAGTCCCTACTGCTCAGGAGGTAGAAGTGGGAGAACTGCTTGGACCCAGGAGTTCAAGGCTGCAGTGGGCTATGATCATGCCACCGGACTCCAGCCTGGGCAACAGAATGAGACCCCTTTTAAAAACAAACAAACAAACAAAAAAAAACCTTACAAATAAAAGAGGTCAGGTACAAAGGCTAATGCCTGTAATCCCAGCACTTTGGGAGGCTGAGGTGGGAGGACTGCTTGAGCCCAGGAGTTTGAGACCAACCTGAGCAACATAGGGACACCCTGTCTCTACAAAGTTTTTTTAAAAAATTAGCTGGGTATTGTGGGATGCGCCTGTAGTATCAGCTACTTGGGAGGCTGAGGCAGGAGGATCATTTGAGCCAGGGAGGTCAAAGCTGCAGTGAGCCATGATCATGCCACTGCACTCCAGCCTGGGTGACAAGAATGAGACTGGCTGGAGTGCAGTGGCGCAATCTCGGCTTATTGCAATCTCTGCCTCCCACATTCAAGCGATTCTCCTGCCTCAGCCTCCAGGGTAGCTGGGTACTACAGGTGCCAGCCACCAAGCCCAGCTAATTTCTGCATTTTTAGTAGGGACGGGGTTTCACCATGTTGGTCATGCTGGTCTCGAACTTCTGACCCCAAGTGATCCACCCGCCTTGGCCTCCCAAAGTGTTGGGATTACAGGTGTGAGCCACAGCACCTAGCTATGAATTCTTATATATACTGGATAGTAAAGTAATTGTATGTATGGAATTGATTTGTTCAAACGGAGGACCTAAGTTTCTTTAAGCATTCAGATGAAGAAAACAAACTTACCCCAGATTGCTTTATAGTATTCTATGAACTCAATATAGAAAAAGAATGACAAGCAAAATGCAAAGATAGTTATCCCCCAAACAGCCATTCTACAGATTGATTCTATATTATCTTATTCTAAACTTTCTTTTAATGACTAGTTCAATGTAATTACAGATATTCTTTTTTCCTCAGAAATCAAGATTTTATTTAATCGATATTTATTTAGTTTTATGATCCATGTCTACAAATCCTACAGATATCAGCTATTAATTTTTTGTTGTTTTTATTAATAGACTTGCTTTCATTAAGATGCTATTTGTATAAAGCTGTTCACTGCAGTTTTTTTTTTTTTTTTTTTTTTTTTGCTTTTTTATTACACTTCAAGTTCTAGGGTACATGTGCACAATGTGCACGTTTGTTACATATGTATACATATGCCATGTTAGTGTGCTAGACCCATTAACTCATCATTTACATTAGGTATATCTCCTAATGCTATCCCTCCCCGCTCCCCCCACTCCTCAGCAGGCCCCAGTGTGTGATGTTCCTGTTCCTGCATCCAAGTGTTCTCATTGTTCAATTCCCACCTATGAGCGAGAACATGCGGTGTTTGGTTTTCTGTTCTTGCGATAGCTTGCTAAGAATGATGGTTTCCAGCTGCATCCATGTGCCTACAAAGGACATGAACTCATCCTTTTTTATGGCTGCATAGTATTCCGTGGTGTATATGCGCCACATTTTCTTAATCCAGTCTGTCACTGATGGACATCTGGGTTGGTTCCAAGTCTCTGCTATTGTGAATAGTGCCACAATAAACATATGTGTGCATGTGTCTTTATAGCAGCATGATTTACAATCCTTTGGGTATATACCCAGTAATGCGATGGCTGGGTCATACAGTATTTCTAGTTCTAGATCCCTGAGGAATCGCCACACTGCCTTCTACAATGGTTGAACTAGTTTATAGTCCCACCAACAGTGTAAAAGTGTTCCTATTTCTCCACATCCTCTCCAGCACCTGTTGTTTCCTGACTTTTTAATGATCGCCATTCTAACTGATGTGAGATGGTATCTCATTGTGGTTTTGATTTGCATTTCTCTGATGGCCAGTGATGCTGAGCATTTTTTCATGTGTCTGTTGGCTGCATAAATGTCTTCTTTTGAGAAGTGTCTGTTCATATCCTTTGCCCACTTTTTGATGGGGTTATTTGGTTTTTTCTTGTAAATTTGTTTGAGTTCTTTGTAGGTTCTAGATATTAGTCCTTTGTCAGATGAGTAGATTGCAAAAATATTCTCCCATTGTGTAGGTTGTCTGTTCACTCTGATGGTAGTTTCTTTCGCTGTGCGGAAGCTCTTTAGTTTAATTAGATCCCGTTTGTCAGTTCTGGCTTTTCTGACATTCCAAAATCATCTATATAATGAAATCGATTCTAACTCAACCAAACTAGCACTTAAAGGAAAGAACTGGCAATCAAAAATGACTGAGGGGGAAAAGAAAAGAGAGAACAACAACAACAAAATGGCAGCTATTATTTATTGAGCACTAATTCTATGTCAGTCAGTGCATTTACAGCCATTTTTTCTCCATTTAATCCTCACCGTATCATGATTTCATAGGTAAACTCTATCCAAGTTAATTGTCTGGTCAATGACTAACTTTTCAAGTTGTCACTAGCTTTGGGGCCAGAACTCTGGCCTGCCTGACTCAGTCATCTGAGCTATTAAGAATTGCAGGAGTCAAGCTTTATCTGCCTTTGTACTTAATTCTCTGAGCAGGCAATGAGCCCATTGTCCTTTCTTCCTCTTACCCACAAGAAAATCCCATACACTAAAGCATTTCCTGACGTCTAGAATAAAATGTTATGCACTATAGTCTATAAACACACAAAAAAGTATTAAAAAAAATACATAAAAATTTAAATATTAATAAGGCCTCACAGTATCCACTCAGGTTAAAAAAAAAAAAAAAAAAAAAGTGAGTGGGAGGGAGCACCAGTGTTGTTAGATAGAAAAGTGAAGTGACAAAATAAAATAGGACATGCTTCAGATAATCTATTCCTGGGTCCACCAGGCCCATCGCTTCTGGTCTCAGAACTGCAATTCTCAATTTTCTCAGGTATGCATATTAATTCACACATTCAGGAGTCAATTCAGCAATAAACAAAGCCACTAATCTTAAAGTTGTGGAGACGTCATAAAGCAAAGAGTCATAGAAAAATGTCAGGTTGAGGCTGGGTGTGGTGGTTCACACCTGTAATCCCAGCACGTTGGGAGGCCAAGGCAGGAGGATCACTTGAGGTCAGGAGTTCAAGACCAACCTAGCCAAAGTGGGGAAACCTTGTCACTACTAAAAGGACAAACAAAATTAGCCAAGCGTGGTGGTGTGTGCCTGTAATCCCAGCTACTTGGAAGGCTGAGGCAGGAGAATCGCTTGAACC